ACTTTTGTAACTAGTTATAACAACCAAAATACACCTTAAAATACTTTAACTGGTACTTTTGTAACTAGTTATAACAACCAAAATACACGCTAAAATACTTTAAGGACAATTGTTTCCATCATCAATAGAACCCATAGCTTGAATCAGAGCACTCCAATTTGCCAACTCCATTTCATCCAATCTACATTGCTCCGTTGCCCTAAGTCTTGCAAACCTTTGTGCCTACCAACAAGTATGGTCCAAAATAAAAAATCCTATGCCATGAATAAGATTAAATAGATGAAAATTTGATATTATCAACTAATTAAATTAACTCTAATTGTTGATATGTAACAATCTCTCTCTGTTTGAATCTTTGTTGCTGCCTAGAGGAGGAGGACTCATTTTCATATTGTAGTTGGGGTTGAGAGTTCCTCATTGACTTTTGGATTGAAACACTTTTAATATTGAAGAACTCATGCAAATTTGAAGCAGGGGTGTGAACAGGGGCATGAACAGTGGCGTGAACAGTAGAGTCCACAAGAGCCTTTGTAGAAACTTTTGGTTTTTTCCTTGGGATTGAGAGGATTCTTCTACTTTTCTATCCAGGCTAATGAACAATAGAAAAGAGAGCACAAAAATGAAAATACATAGAAATGAAAAGACTTAGTACCACATCAAAGAAATATAACAAAAAAAAATGAATTAATTTGTAACAAGATTAAAATCTTACATCTAAAATACACAATCCAATCTCTATGTTGAAATAGGCCCCATATCCTTCAAATGTGGTCCTTTTCTTACAACTTTCTTTAACCTGAAATTAAATTATCGATATTAAAGTAGCAATATAAATATAAAAAATGAAAACTTATGTTATGATGAACATAATTTAAAATGAGAAATCACCTTTTTGGTGGTTTGGACGACTTTCCCCTTGTTGCCATGGACAGCTTTCCCCTTACCATGCACATGCACTTGATGACCATGACTTGTACCTTCATTGACTTCAATATTAATTGTGCCACTCCCAGATTCAACAACTGGTTCTTTAATTATGGGTTTTGCCTTTCTTTCGTGTTGACATTTTCATCTGAACTCTTGTGGTAGCTCAGGTGGACACTGGACAGAATTGTTGGCATCTTTTTTCCTTCCTTTTTTGGCTTGTTAAATTCCCATTAAATTTGAACTGACATTACTAGTTTGATCTTGCACATCAGCAGCAAGTAGTTGATTTTCTGCATGAAGTTGCATTTCAACACCTTCAGCAAGTAGTTCCTTTTTTGGTTGCATTTGCAGTTGAACGCCTCCATCAACTTGTTGATTTTCCGGTTGAAGTTGCATTTCAACACCTCTAGCAACTCTTGCATCTCCAATAGGCATCTCAACTATTATGGGAATGTTATTCACAACATTTGCTTGAGTGGATGATGACTCTTCAGCTTGTTCTTTAAATGAAAAAACTCAACTTTAGTTATCTAAAACTGTTAGGAAACAAATAATCTTAAACAAATTTATATTATCTAAATGAGATTACACTTACATTTTTTGGCTTTTTGGATGGACAAGTTCTAGAATTGTGGCCTTGTTTGAAGCATACTCGACAGGTCATGATCCTACCCTTTCTGCTAATGTTAGATCCATTAGAAATTTCACAATCTTCTAAATGCCTTTTCTTTTTAGGTCTACCCGTCGTCTTCCTTTCCACTGGTGGATCAAGTGCAGGCATGCCTATTTCTTCCCATCTTTCCATGCCATCTAGAGGAATTATGCAGTGCTTGTATGTGTTAATGTATGCTTGTCTTCTGTAGCAAAGGTGCACATAGTCTTCAAAGTTTTCCTCTCTATGTTGGATGGCAAGCATGGCATGTCTACAAGGAATGCCATTGAGTTGCCATACCCTACAAGTGCATGTATGGTCACAAACATTGACCACAAATGAGTCATTTCTTTCTTTGATCTCATATTCCACAAGGGCTCTAGATAACATATAGCAGCTAGACATTGCAGCCCTATGCTCCTCAATCTTCTCCCAAAATTTGGACCAAATTCTCCAACAAACTTTTGTCTACAAAGGCCTGTTTTGCTATGATTCTTTTTGAGCACTTCCACCTTAAGTCCTCTAGCAAAGACATAGCAGCCTTTTGCCTTGCATCAAGAATAAATCCATTGAAGGTCTCACTCATATTGTTATCAACAGCATCACATTTGCAATGAGTATCAAGGAATGTCTTGCACCAATACTTTGGATCATATTGCATAAGGTGCTCTTTTGCTGCAGAGTTCAACTTATTAATTTCTTCCATATTTCTCATGAATTCTGCAATAGTAGTTGATTTAGCAGTTATCCAGAACCATTTTTATAACTGCTTACCATTGTGATGCTTCCTAAAATTTGCATATATATGCCTAGCACATCTCCTATGTGTAGCTCTAGGGAATAAGCTTTGTATTGCATTAATTAGACCCTATTTCCAAATTAAAAAACAAGAAATAAATTTTCTGTGGAACAAAAAATTATAGAAAAAACAAAATTGATGGAAAAACAAAATAAACTCACATACTTTTTGTTGATCAGACAAAAATGTGAAGTTTTCTCCATCACCTATCATCAAGTCAACCCCCAAAAGCTCTAGGAACCATGTCCAATTGTTTGTTCTTTCACATTCTACTAAGCCCAAGCTACTGGATACATTTGGTTATTTGGATCTCTAGCTACTGTTGATAGCAATTGTCCCTTGGTTGGACCTTTGAGGAAAGCTCCATCAAGACCAATAGTAGGTCTGCACCCAGTTAAAAAACCTTCTCTCAAAGCAGTAAAACATACATAAAACCTTATGAAAACAAGATTCGAATAAGGTGTAGGCCTTTCCGCATAAATCTCAATTGTGCTTGTTGGATTTCTTGTCAATATTTCTCGTCTATAATCAAATAACTTACTATATTCCTTCTTGCAATCACCTTGAAACTCCTTAATAATGACCTGCTTTGCTCTCCGAGCTTGACTAATAGTAATCTCAAGATGTAGTTCTTCATGCATACCTTGCTGGATATTGGGATGAGAAAGAGTCAATACAGAATAACTCTTGGTTTTAATAAAATGCCTAGCCATTGTTGTAGCTTTAACTCTCTTGTTCTCCAACTAAAACCGCAAGTACTTATATGTTTTTATCATCCAACTCCTTGTTCTAGAATCTACTGACAATAAAAGAGTCCAATCACACCTTTTATCCACACATGTAACCCAAACCCTCCTTCTATCATTTTTTATCAAAACAGTTTCTCTTCTTGTGTAAATTGATAGTGCAAGAACAGCATCCTTAAATTGTTGGGTGCTTGAAAAAATCATACCAATTTCAAATTCTGAAATGAGGAGAGTGTTATCAAAGATCTTGTGTTGTGACCTCCTCCTTCTAGCTTCATCAGCCTCACTATCATCACTGGTAGTGACAAAGCTAACATTGTCACCTAAATCAATGGAATCACTATGTCCCTCAGCAGCATCTTGTGTTGGATCAAATAATAACAATGCTATTTCTTCTTCCCTTTCAAACCTGCGACCAGATTGAGACCTTAGTAGCCTATTTTGTTTCCTTGCCTCTTGCCATTCTTCATCCTCGTTATCAGTTAGCCAAGGAACATCTATGAACTCATCACCACTAAGTTATGCCTTCTGCACTGTTCGACTTGAGCTTGCTGTTGTAGTATTGGTTTGTTCTCTTACAGTAGTAATGGCTTGTTCTCTTGATATGAGGCTATCTTGAGTAAGACAACCAAGGACTTCTTCATCATTTAAAAAAGGCTCTAATCTATGCAAATTTACAACATAACCTCCCACCACCTCAAAAGCCCCCATAACAACATTTACTGAAGATGCCCCACTACCATTGTGGGGCCCAGATTTGCCTAAATGTTTTAATACCTTTGCCTCATGTTCCACATAGACATCTATATATCCATGTTCAAAAAGTAGTTGGAACATGTCATTAACCGATTCATCAGACACTATTAAAACAAGTCCATTTTCAAGTTTCTTCCTTGGGTGCTTGTACCAAACAAAATCACTCATTCCATCAATGTCAATATTTAAGCATTATAGTTTAGCCCTAAATCCAGCAACATCTATGTTACCATAGTCAAACCACATACTCTGAAAGGTACCTCCAACATACCTCAAATATGGATCTTTAACAAATTTGCCCCTGATGTGTAGATACATTCCTACTTGCATGGTTCCCATTATAGAAAATGCCTAAAGAATCAACACAAATTATCAGAAAATAACAAAAGAATTCATTCAAAATGCATTGTAATCTAATAAACTAATGGTTACCATTGACAATTGAGTCAACTAACCCCAATTAAAAACCTAAACTAAGATTAGTTTACTAATCTCCACAAATCCTTCATTAAATTAATTAACCACAAACATAGAAAACTCCATTTTTATTGTATACCTCCGAAGCCGTTCTCTGCTTTGATGCTGTTGATCTTGCCTTTTGATCCCTTTTCCTTTTCCTTGTGCAGAGATTCTAAAACTCAAATCTCAAGTGACTATAAAAGTCAAAAATTGTACTACATATAAAGAAACTTGAGAATTTTTGGAGGCAAAATAAATAGAAAATGGGGTTGAGTTCTCGCCCACTTGCAGGATCCACGTTGGGGAGGCAGCGGGAATTGAAGTCTCGACAAAGGCAAAAAAATTTTGTGAGAGATGAGGTGGGGCCCACAAGACAAGGTGGCAAAAAAAAAAAAAAGGGCCTAACCGAGTGTGACCATTTGCACTTAATGGTCAACAAACAGGACCGTTAACTTAATTGGATGGAGGGACAACATTTGCATGCTTTTGCATTGCAGAGGGATGACAGGTAGAGTTAATTGATAGTAAAGGGACAACATAAAGCCAATCCATAGTAGAAGGTTTAGAATGCACTATTTTTGATAGTAGAGGGACGATAGATAGCCTTAACCCCAATGTTAGGGTTGGGAATGCATTTTATAATACGACATATAATCATCAAGTTACGGACTCAAGTGCACATACCATTATGTTTATAGGTTGACATTCAAAAAATTAGTATAAAGATAAAATTAGTACCACTAACAAAGTTGATTACACACGTCATTACATGGAGCTACTTGAATAAAAAATCTTTACTTTTCGTGGAAGAAGAAGAGAAAATATTAATGGTATCTTGTCGGTAGGAAATCATGGCTTAATTGATAAAATAATTTATTTTTATTTTTATTTTTAATTTTAATATTAATGATTTGTGTTTTCATTTTGTAACCTATTCTATTTATATGTTATATAATTTAAATTTATATTATTTTATTTTATCATGATCATTGTATCATATGTAATCACTAATCAATAGCTCTTATTCGAAACTCCAAACCTTGCTTAATCTCGTCTTTTGGTTGTGGAATCACTTCATATCAACCATAAAATATTACAGTTCACAAAAAAAAAAAAAAAAAAAAAACCCTCTTTTGTACATCAAAAGTTAACCGTGGGTTGGAAAGAGGTTAATATGGTTAATGGAAGTGAGAATCCAACAAAAGAAGTGACGTGACTTCCCACCGAACAGCAACACAGGCAATGCAGTACAAAATATGGCTGGACGGCACTCATGAGAAGAAATTACGGGATTAATCTTGATGCAGTGTTAGCTTGAGGAAGGCTTCAATTATAGCTGTTTACATCATAATTGTAAAAATTTAAGATCATGCCATGTGTAAAAAAATTTAAATGGATGGAAGAGATTTTACCATATTAGATATGTAATTCTAAATCTCATGACAAATCAACTGTCACTTTGAAAAGAAAGATGTAAAAATATAAGATTTTATCTTTTAATTACCTTTTTGAGTAAAAATGGATCTGTTTTCGCTTAAATATAAGAGAAAATTTCAATTATGGGTGTGAGTTATCAAATAAAAAGAACAAGTAGCAAAATCTAAAAGGTAATCTAACCCTGTCAACTACTAAGGTGTCCTACTACATCAACAAACAGCCCATGATATTTGAAACTGCAGAAAGTGGAGAGTTACAATTGGGAAAGGAGAACAAAAGGGAAATTTTGGAGGAGAGAACACACGGCCAACCCTCCCACATACAACTCGCAAATTTTAGACTTTCAATTTCTCTACAATTGCTCACTTTTGCTTACATATTTTGAATTTTAGTATAGTTCCAGTAGATTTACGTTATTTTTCATCATTCCAGTAGTTAAATTAGTTCATGTATTCGCTTCAACAATTTTGTTTCATGTAATGAATTTCAAGTTTTTGAATTTTTTCAAGGTATTGTTCCTTCTCTGACTATAATTAGTTTAACATTTATGATAAGTAATGTTTCTTCAAATAATTACTTATATGATGTTTACATTTCTTCTCAATTTCGAGCATGTTAGTTTAATTTCTGTTCATGTTTGTTTTACTGTTAGCTAGGATTAAATCTCAAATTCTACAGTAGTTTAATTTTCAGAACTGTTAGTAGATAGTATTTTAATTTGATAATAACATGTTTACTTTAATTTGAATATATCTTGTTCTTGCAAATTTACTTTAAATTGCATGTTATTTAGTTTTATTAGGATTTGTCAATTTTGATTCATAATAGTGTTTAAGTCCTTAAAGTTTTCTAAGGTAGATTTAGTAACCGATTCTACAAGAAGGCATCCCTCTCTCTTGCAAATCATCTATAGGTGCAGATTTTAATTTTAAACCAACGTTGTTCTTGTCATTCGCAAAGAAGTCGACCGTGAAGAAGGAGAATCTCGTTGGGAAAATCCTTCTTTCTTACTTTCAACAAAGTTAGTGCTACGCCTACATCTAAATTCTGTACATGTGAGGCCACTAGAGGATTTTTGAGTAAAAAATAGCATTCTTGGCTTCTTGCAAATGTAGAGGGATTCTGTAATTGTTGGCATGGTGTCTCTTTTAAAGAACATCTAGCATCTTACATTCAGTAAAAAAAGGGAACTGAAAAGTTCGTACATTTGGACATAAGATTCCACTTATTATGGTGATTGGCATAGAGCTAGACGATGAATTTAGTAATTATATAGCAGACAAGTTGCTACTCCCCTTTACACAAAAAGAAGCAATGTTTTGAAAATTAGATCGAACCGGACCAGACCAATCGATTGAACCGATACTCGATAATGGAAACAACTCACGTTAATATTTAAAATCATTTAGGGGTTAAACCGATCAAAACCGTCCAAACCAATAAAAACCAAAAAACCACCCAACCGACCAAACCAATTATTTAGAGAAAATTTGCGAAGTTTGTTGCTGTCGCTGGGTCTTGAACACGAGACCTTTCTATGTTTAGACAACTCTTTTACCACTAGAGCCATTGAACCTTTCATGAAATGAGTAACAAAAACTATATTTTAAAAAATATTACCAAACTAAAGGAAATGCTCATACTCATTGTCACGAGATTCAAACACTTGCCCTTTCATACATTTAGAGTAACTTCTTCCACCTGATCTGAATCAAGTTCATTGGTTTTTATTGTCTTGAGATTTATTTATTATAATAAAATTATATAAATAAATAAATTTAACACATTTGGGATTCGAACTCTAGTTTTATATAACATAGGCAAGCGTTCCAACCACTAAAACTACCTCTTTCCTTTTGCAAAGAATTGCATTATATTATATTTAACATATACTTCCAAAATTCAATCAATCTGGTTTTTTTACCCAATTAAACCAGTTCAACCGTTAGAACCATGAACCGAAGGTCAAAACAATTTGACCTCTGGTTCAGTTTTGAAAACCTTGAAAAGAAGTGGAACAATAGAATGCAGCAATTAGTAACAACTCAACAATGTTAATTCGATCACAAACGCCAACATGTTTTTAGTATATTTTAGAACCAATTACATCATTAACAGTTATATTTTAATAACTTCAAGATAGCAGTGCTCTTCCCTTGTGCTGTCAAATGAAACAATGCAAGTTCCATACAGAACTAACTATGCCAAAAAGCTTATATAAGAATTCATAGTGTAATCTTCTTCCATAAATACTTAACTATAAGTCATTGGATATATACTAGTGTACTAGTAACTTTGCTATCAAATGAGATAAATAGAGAGACTTGATTTTAAATAACAGGCTTTAACCAGTATTCCTCATCCCAGCAGCAATGCCGTTGATAGTAATCAGCAAGGCGTCTCTTAGTTTGTTGTTATCATCATCATGTCTCAACCTCTTGAGAATCTCAATTTGTAACATGTTTATTGGATTGAGATAAGGGAGCCTGCTTTCAATCAGCCTCCTCAAGCTCCGATTGTTCTCAGATAGTTTCTCATGCCCGCAAACCACCAATACATACTTCTCTGTTCTCATGAGCTCTGTCCTGAGTGCAGCACCGAGTTCGCGCCTGCTCTCTGACACAAGCACTTCATCGTATTGCTTGGCTATTGGAATGTCTGCTTTACCTAAAACCATCTCTATAAGGTCTATGGTAGATTGGAAGAAAGGCCATTCTTTGTACATTGCTCTCAAGTCCTCCGTGTGTCCCTTCTCACAAGCACCCTTTAATCCTGCTCCAACACCAAGCCAGGCTGGAAGAACAAATCTAGTCTGGGTCCATGCAAATACCCATGGAATAGCACGAAGATGTCCAATTGCCGTTGAGCTTTTTCTCCTAGTTGGGCGGCTACCTATGTTAAGAAAGCCTAGTTCAGCTTGGGGTGTAGCCTCGTGGAAGTAGGCAAGGAACTCTGGGTTCTCATAAACGGTGCTTCGGTAGTTCTGGCAACTGATTTTTGAGATCTCCTCCATGAGATTACGCCATTTCTCTTCTCGGGGTGGTTGAGGGGGACGTAGGGTTGCAAGGAGCACAGCAGTTGTGTATATCTCTAGCTGTCTAACAGCAGTCTGTGGCAAACCAAATTTTGCCTGCACCATTTCTCCTTGCTCGGTCGAACGAAGAGTACCCTGCCAATTTGACGCCATAACAGATCGGTTA